TAGTTACACCCATAAAATAAGAAATCTCTTTAATACACTGAAAAAAAAATTCCAAAACTAGGTAAGTCATTTTTTCTTAAAATAACTGCATTTTGTCTTGAATATAAAAGAGACATTTTGCCAATGGAACAAGACAATTTAAATTTAAAATAAGAAAACACAACAGCATTGTCTTATTTCAAGTGCTTTTTATCTAATTTTCTTATTTTAAGAGTAAAAATATTAACTCCATTGGCAAACTAATCAAATTAAGGGTAAATAAACTTCATTTCAGAAAATTTGTTTTTCCATTGCAGAACCAGACTGATGACATGAAGTAGACCCAGATACTAAGACTTCTTTTTTTTTTATCTATAATGTCCTGATATAAAGTAAAACAAATAAGAAAAGAGCAGCAAAGTCATTAACATCTATCACAAAGCTCTTTACAAGACTCCTGGACTCCAGAGAACCATGATCTACCGGTACAAATGTTATCAGTTTAGACCAGAGTGAACGATTTACTTAGAAATAGTCTAAGCTTAAATGTTTCTAAGGCCAAAACTACTGCAGAGCAAACAGACAATGAGTAAAACACCTGGATGACCTCTGGGACATCATGGATCATATATACATAACGGATATTTTTTTTATGTCGTGAGCAATTTATTCCATTGAAAATACGTCTTTACTGCACCATAAGGAAAGTGAATTAAAATAAAATGAATCTCCAGGAAGGAATTTTACAATTCTAAACTTTTGTTTTTGTTAGATAAAATAAATTTGTTTTAAAAGAGATAAACACATGATTTAATTCGAATTTTTTTATGTTTTCAACATTTAACACACAAAAGAAAAAGAAGTCTAATAGTTTGTTTTTCTGTTTATCTTTTTAGGAGATGCCGTTTATAAGCGGACTGAGTGAAAATGTTTCAGGACTGAGCTTTGGTTTGTGAAAATAAGTTGAATTTAAATCTAATAAATGAAAGCGGGGTTCTTTCTAGTTGAAATACTTTTTTATTTTATTTTGTAGATGAGCAGCAGGAGCTGGACTGGACCCTGCAGGACTCAGATCTTCACTACCACATTCTGACCAGTGGGGGGCAGAGCAACTCCTCACACACTGCTGCTGCTGTAAGTGTCTAACATGGTGGGAAAGATCAGGTCTGTGTGAAACAACAGGCTGACATTAATAATAAATCATTTATTTGACCTCCAGGTCAGAGAAAAAAAATCACAATTTTCAAGAGATTGCTTTTTTTTTTCACCCCTTGAAGCCAATCTGTTCCCTTTCTGACACAATCAGTGTTAAATCTGGTCCAGGCGGCTCATCGGTGGCCTGAGGTTGAATGTCTGACCTGATGACCATGATGATGAGTCGTTTCGCCTCTGAACAGCTGGGAGATAAACCGCTCTGAGACGTTTTCTCTTCCTGTTTGTGGGATCTTCACAGACTGGGGGCCAAAGATCAGAAAATGCTCTTTAGTGTGGAGAGAAACTTGACTTCTACAATTATACATCTGTAGACGTATGCATACCAGTTATCCCTAAATAGGGCTCTCAGTGAAACACTTGGAAATTCAAAATTTCAAGCCAATAGGACAAGAACTTATTACCTTTGTAACATTAAAAAATATGGATATTTTGATGGCAAAAATTAATGTCAATGTAATAACAAGAAACGCCAACTAGCCCGAATATATTTGGAAATATAACAAAAATCCTTCTAGAAGAAATTCATGAAAAACACTGAGAGAATGAAAGAAACACATTATTTTTGGTCCAACATCACCTTAGAGGCATTAATGCTGATACTGGAACTTACAGTTGTTAGTTTAATATCCTAAATATAATTCTTAACTTGGCTTATTAACTTATTAACTTTACTTTTTTACTTTTCAATGAGCTTTTTACCTTTTTTTTCTTGACTTTTTATTTTTATTTTTTTCAACTTAATTTACAGTAGGTAATATATCATTCATTACTCATTCCTAAATGAGATGTACAGTCAAGTACCTGTATCTCTGCTGAAGGGCTGGATATAGATCTTGTGCTTCTAGACCTCACGGAGGGACGGGGGGACTCACTTGTAAGGGGGATGCAAGTGATCAAAAATGGTAACTTGCCCTATAAAAGGTTAACGCTGCTTCCTACAGTATTTAGTACTGTACTTTAGTAGTATACAGTATATGAAAGACCCCAGGTGGCCTTTTTATTCGGTACACTGTTAGGTACACCCTAATATTAGCTGCCTGTTGTGTGTCAGAACTGATGTTTATCTAATTAAGACACTTCCTCTGTCTTAATTAGATCAATCTTAATTAGTTAAATCTAATAAATTAGTTATAATCTTCATTCTGTGTGTGGCAAAGATTTGGGAATCAAATGACAGTGGTTTCCTTCTGCTAAGAACACAGTAAAATATTTTGATAAGGCTGGAGCCATGGATGTCTACTTATCTGCTAATGTGATGATGTGGCAGACTGAAGTATGAAATGC